AAGATACCACCCCGGATTAGTGTTGTGATACAATGAATTTATATATTTCATAAATGGACGTGGTTAAACAAGCAGTGAAGAGACCAGACAAATTCAACTGAAAATACATCCCCACACAACGGCTGCCAACAACATATACCGAGCGGACGCTATGTTTTCTAATAACATTTATAATACACGATTTTATATCATTAGTATCATTCCTCTGATACAGCGAGCCCAATAAGCGGGCCATTGAACTTATTATGATTCTTAGTAACTTGTCTTTCGAAGGAGCGAGTCAGTCTATCTGCTTGACCCCAGGTTGTGACACGGTCGTATTCGTAGGCACAAGAGGTTAAATACATTAGCTAACTTTTCAAACTTATTTTTACTGACCAAATACTCCCCATAAGATATTGCGAATATCACACACACACAGACACACACACACACATACATATATATATATATATATATATATATATATATATATATATATATATATATATATATATATATATATAATATATTTAAAAGATACAGTAGTATCCAATCATTCATTACTCGCATTTTATAATTGAACAAGAGCTTGTTGCTCAATCGCTATGTTGATTCGTACGGATTTGTTTACACCAGGAAACATGCCAATTGACAAGCTGTCGTGCAGGTCATTTACTCAAGAATTACTTCAATTATGCATAACTCTTTGCTTGCTACAAAGAATTTTGATTTACATGTTTGTACATCTGTAGAATAACCAGAGAGCATCTTGAACTACTGATTCTGAACGAATGCAAGAATTATTAGGTTTGTGGCCCCGATGCCAAGCGCTGCGAAGATTTCTACGATCATTTTTGAATTGAGGCTTGTTACATGTGATCAGTGTTCATGGCAATATAGGATATACAAGTAAATATTTTTGGCTTTGTATAACCTCTAGGCGTCTTTTATAGTATCAGCTGTTCAGGGATCAAAGAGTCGAGTACCAAACACATTGACACGATTACAGCACGGCAGCGAGGCGGCTACGAAACTAATGCCAAACAAAAATTTCACAAAAAAAAGGATGCAGATTACGACCGTAGATCAAGAGATCGAGGTCACGAAGATAGAAGGCGAGAGGAAAATGGCCATGTGACAGAAGGGAGGCCAGTGGACGAGAAGTCCGAGTCGGAAGTGATGACGAGCACGAGCAAGGGAGGGTGAACGAGAAGTGGCCCTTAGGAACATGGTAGTGCTATCTTGGGATATAGATAGGACTACGAAGGCTATTTGTCTGACTATATAAATGAACAACTTGATCGGTAAATTTCGCATGGTATTATTGTAGTGGATATGTCTAGGTTAATGAAAATAAGTAGTTTGTAGGAATGTTACTTACATGATTAAGACTTTCAAGGGACCACAGCATGGCTAATGTGCATGCATGTCAAGCCACATAATTTTGAGGTGTAGGATTAAGTTTTATATGTTTGCTAATTAAGTGTTTGTTTTGTTCATGGCCGTCATTCTTGTCGTATGATATTACATTCATGTGTTAATTAAGAAATGTAGTTTGTTGTATGTTGACAGTTTCGTTACTGACAAGTAAATTTATATGTCAGTCGTACCCTTGCATTGATGTTTAGATTTTACCTAAAGAGCTTTGGTCCATGAAGAGACAAGCTGACGTCATTGCATCATTTTATCTGCTTGCCGCTTCACATAATCTGTAGCACTTCCTTGCTATCTCACATTATTGATAAATATCCCATTGGTAAAAGGCTTGGCTCTTTACCAAGACATTTATTTTGCACTAGAGTTAAGAGTGAATACATTGCAGTATTATAATCTGTTGATTGTATGTGTAACATTACATCATCATACGGAAAAATAATGTAACTATTTACTATGATACATTATGATAAATTATATGATAATGCATATATATTGATATATGTATATATATATATATACATATATATATATATATATATATATATATATATTATATATATATATATATATATATTATATATATAATATGTAGTATATCGTGTATATATACTATTAATAAATAGGCTTTTAATATTTTGATTTTTTACAAATAATTCCCAACGAGTTTCCTACACTACGTGTTGTAAAATCTAGAAACAGAATACATCACATTTCGTTATCACTCACGTAAATCTGAGAGAGAGAGAGAGAGAGAGAGAGAGAGAGAGAGAGAGAGAGAGAGAGAGAGAGAGAGAGAGAGAGAGAGAGAGAGAGAGAGAGAGAGAGAGAGAGAGAGAGGAGAGAGAGAGAGAGAGGAGAGAGAGAGAGAGAGAGAGAGAGAGAGGAGAGAGAGAGAGAGAGAGAGAGAGAGAGAGAGAGAGAGAGAGAGAGAGAGAGAGAGAGAGAGAGAGAGAGAGAGAGAGAGAGAGAGAGAGAGAGAGAGAGAGAGAGAGAGAGAGAGAGAGAGAGAGAGGAACAGAAGCAGAGGAACGAAAGAGTGGAAAAGGGAGAGGAAAGAGCAAAAAGAATAGAGACAAAATCGAGAACAGAAGGAAGAGAAAGAAAGAAGAGAATAGAGGTAATAAGGAAATAACAGAAGAGGGATAGGAAAGAGAAAGTTGAATAGAAGGGGCAAAGAAAAGAGAAAACAGAAGAGAGAGAGGGGAGAAAGGACAAAAGGGGGAGAAGAAAGAAAGAGCAGAAGAGGAAAAGGAAAGAGACAACGAAAGAGGGAGAAGAAAAGGAGAACCGAAGAGGGAGAAGAAAGAGAGAATAGAAGAGGAAGATGAAAAAGAGAACGAATGAAGGAGAAGGAAAGGAGACCAGAAGAGGGAGATGAAAGAGAGAACGGAAGAGGGAGAAGAAAGAAAGAATAGAAGGAGATGAAAAAGAAAGTAGAAGGGGGAGAAGAAAGAGAGACCAGAATAGAGAGGAAAGAAATAGCAGAAGAGGGAGAGGAAAGAGAAAGTAAAAAGGGAAGAGGAAAAAAGAGAAGGAGAAAGAGAGATTAGAAGAGAGAGAAGGGAGAGAGAACAGAAGAGGGAGATGAAAGAAAAAATGGAACGAGAGAGAGGAGAGAAAGACGACAGACCTTCCTGTATTTTCATACCTCCTTTTGGCACACTCTAACATCAAAGTTCACATAAACAATACGCGTCTTCCCTATAATGATAATAATAATAATAAATGCATAATATATAATCTTTCCCAACATGACGATAGGAGCTGCCAGTTTTTCTTATCATTTCTTCTTATTATTATTAGTCTTTTCTCAGAAGAAAATGCGGGAGAAAATGCTGAGTGGGGGTATTAGCCGAGGCTAATAACAAGAAAATAAATGTGCAAGAACGGGTCGTCAGAGCACCTAACCGATACCAGAGGCTTCAACCAGCGTCAGAAGGTCCCTTTTGGCTTCCAAGCGATAGCCACGCTCCTTCCATTCTCATTCTCGGGATATTTCGTCTCACTCTTTCTCTTTTCTCTCGTCTTCATTCATGTCTATATCTGTATTTCCGTTTTTACTCTGGTTCATAATTTGTTTTTCTCTTTGGTGTTTTTCGTTGCTTTCTTCCTATTCGTCTATACCTTTCTCTTTATATATTTATTCCTCTTATTTCACTTTTTCTATTCCTTATTTACTTTCTTTTCCCACCTACTTCTTGGGACTCGTCTCTCTGTTGCTAGCAATTGCACCATCTTAGTTTTCTACTTTTTTGTTAACTTTTTTTTGCATTTTCATCACTCTTATTTGCATTACTAATTTCTCATCATCATTATAATAAAGGGTATTTTCTGCAAAGGAACATTTAAAACAATCGTATTATTGCATGTTGAGCAAATTATGAAATAATTTCAGTAAGAATAGATTTTATTTCGTTCATTAGCGATACAAAAACAATCATCATGCATCAAAAAAAATAACATCATATATATATATATATATATATATATATATATATATATATATATATATATATATATATATATATATATATATATATATATATATATATATATATATATATATATATATAATATATATATATGAACATATAGATTTCGTGTGTGGTTATGTGCGTGTGTTTATGTGTAGATGCGAGATAACTGCAATTTTTGCTATACCATTTCTGATTGCCTTTGTTTTCAGAAGTATTTGTTGAAGTCGCTTGTTTATAGCAAACTTCATTAACAGTTTCTACTTCTCCATTTACGAATAGGTTCCAGTGGTCAAAATTCTCTCCATACTAATATATATATATATATATATATATATATATATATATATATATATATATATATATATATATATATATATATATATATATATATATATATATATATATATATATAATATACAGATACAGATATCTAAGTGTACGCAGAAGCTACAAAAAGTAATCACCATTTATATATAGGCATATATACATCCATTAAAAAGAAAAAAAAATATGTTTTTCTGTCTGTCTCTCTTCTGCCTGTCTGTCTCTGTCGCTCTTGTAACTAAAACAATATGCATGTATGTACATTTATTATGTTTGTATGCATATATGTATGTATGTATGTGTATGTATGGGTGTATGACTGTGCGTGTGTATTTTCCCGTAATTAGCTTTGTTTATTTTCCTGGTATCACATGATGATGATGATGATGATGATGATGATGATGATGATGATGATGATGATGATGATGATGATGATGATGATGATGATGATGATGAGATGATGATGATGATGATGATGATGATGATAAATATAATAATAATATAATAATAAAAATAATAATAAAAAATAAAATATAATAATAATAATAATAATAATAAAATACATCTCGTAATACACGTAATGACCCCAGCTAATGAGATTCTCTTGACAGAATAAAGCAACACCAGGGCATAGAGCAGCGGAGAGGCAGCGTGACGTGAACCCCGCTCGCCGAATACGCGACTGCGCATGCGTAGATGCGTAGGCCTTGCGCAAGTCAGTTGTTGTTCAGTGGTTGTAGAGAAGTCACGTGACGGTCGCGTTTCTCAACTAGTGTTATG